GCTTGGTTTGATAGGAATATTGGACAGGATGTGGGTGAGGGTATTCGGTTGTCTGCTAGTCTCGGACACGGTATGGACAACGTGGATGCGTGAGAGATGACTTGCGAGTTAGACGTCAAGACGAAGGGCCGAAGTGAAGTGGTTATTCCTTACTCTAAACACGCATCCATGGCTCTCCAGCACCAGAATTTCACGACATATTGCCTCATATGCAGAGCTGTATAAGATGATTAATCAGTGTTGTACAAATTATCGCGTATAGTCTCAACTGAAGGCCCAACATGAATAAGGGGAAGCCAACGGTCGGGCACAATATTGCTACTTAGCGACTAAGCCAGTGACATCATGTTACCAGGGAGCCCTACGTTACTGGGAGACGGTGGGCTGTTGGCCGATAGTCCAAGCAGATACTTGAAGTCTGGTGCTGTGTACAGAGAACCGAGCACCATGGGAACTGATAATGACCGGAAGGGTGACGAGAACTTTGTGAGCCCTATCAGCTCATGATTCATCTGATTCCCAGATAGATTATACGTATATCAGAGCTATGGCCGAAGAGGGGACTCGGCTCTAGTAGCGAGGGACGTGATTCACCAGTTGCCCTTTGTTTGCTAGCACCTCCTCAGCAACGTGCCTTCCCCTGAAGTCGTACATAGGTCCCAACAGTCCCATCACTCGCTTAGAACTGTTATTCGTGTGGGTGATGCAGTGAAGCGAGGCACTCGCAAGTCGCTCCTTCCCTTCGAGTGAATCAAGGACTTCTTAAGATATAAAACCACAAATTCTACTGCCCTACTCTTCAACAACCCCGACATCTCCTTCTTCCACCACTATCGAAACCCGATCGTGTAGACGATATACACTTCAAAAAAACAAATAGGGTATCCCAGGCCACAGCAGCACCTTTCTTATCTAATCCCAAATCCAAAGTTCACAACCCAGTATTTACGATGCGTTCCCTGGCAACTGTCCTGGCCACCCTGGTGGGAGTGCTGCACCTCCTTGGTACAGCAGACGCCAGCGTCATCCCTCGCGGAACCGGTGTTATCCAAGGATGGTGTTGCTCATCCGACTGCAGCGTATGCAATGACAGTTCAGTCCACTGTCATGATGGAGACCATCAGACTTGCTTCGATCAGACAGGGGTTAGTTCATCTTCAACTTTCGACAGCTTCCATTTCATTCAAAGATAGTCTGCTGAGCTAACTCTCATCTCCCAGTTCAACGAAATCATCACGAATACCTGCTGCTTTTTGGAGACCGATGTTGACGCCAACGGACTCGAGAAGCACTACGCTCGTAGCACCGGAAAGGAGGTGACTTTCCCGTCTCAACCAGAAGTGGCGTCCGTAGAGACTCCTACTCGATCTACCGAAGAGAAGCGAGGCTGGTGCTGTAATCGTAATTGCGATACTTGCGGGGCCGACTCGCCTCCCTGCGGTCAGGATGACCTATGTCATCACCTTCCAGTATTTGTAAGTATTCGGTCTCGTTCATCGTTTCTCTAACGACAAAGCTGACGCTTTATTTCTAGCATTCCCCGCGGATGGATACCTGTTGCCAGCTGGATAGCAAGTCGCGACTAGACGGGACACTGGGTTTCACCACCGTCAGTGGAGAGGAGGTCAATTTCATCGATTCGGAAGACACGCCATCTGAACCAACTCTGGCAGACCGCTCAACACAGCCTGTCTCGGAGGTATCTACGGGGACCGCCGGGAAGAAGCGACTTTGCTGCGCTTCGGATTGCAGCACATGCTATGACAGAGACATTAACTGTCGGACGGGCAGCGAGTGCCATGATGTTGCTGGAGTCGTACGTTTCAATATCTGCATCTCATTCCCTTCGAGTTGAGACCATTCAGACTAACGTAGTGTCTCCGTAGGATGGACCGGATACACATACCTGCTGCACAGTCGTTACCGGGCTAGACGGAAGCCGCGGAGAGAAGCTCTACACCCTAGGCAGCGGCAAGGAGGTCAAGCTCCTCCCTTCACCTACAAAGGAGGGCTCTCTGCCAGATCCCGCCGTAGCTATTCCCAGCTCGGATCCACCTGCTGACCCTCCAAGAGGATGGTGCTGTCTCTCAGGATGCAACGCCTGCCTCCACCCCCCGAGCTGCGTGTCTCCGGACTTCATCTGTGATCGATCGGCTCTTGTAAGTCTTCCCGTGTTGTCTGTTCTCTATCAGACCCGGCACGGGTCGGTCAAACGACCGGACTCGTCTGGAGTAACTAACCGTTTGGTATGATCCAGTTCAACAATTGCTGCATGCTAGAGCGTCACAAGAACCAGATCACCGGAGAGGAGAAGTACCACGCCCCCATCACTGGCGAGGTGGTGACCTTCATCGACTCGGCAGAGGAGTACCTCGCGTTGTCTGCATCTGTGTCAGATGAAGAACCGGTTCCCACCATAGAGGCTCCAACGCCGGCTCTAGCAAAGCGTCAAGCCCAGGGAGACCTGCCAAGCGGGTTTTGCTGTCTCCCGGGTTGTGGTCTCTGCTACCAGAAGTGCTCGCCGCCGGACTACGAGTGCCACCCGACGACTCCTCTTGTAAGTCTTTAGATCCCGTATTTCCCTTCTGTCCGCAAAGCTAATCACTTCTCAGTTCAACAGGTGCTGCATGGCAGAGCTGCGCAGGGATGCGACGGGAGAAGAGAAGTACCACAACCTGATCACCGGGGTGGAGTTGAAGTTCGTGGATGAACAAGATGGCTCGGTGGCATAAGTCGAGCATGTTTGTAGGCTCAGCGATATGGGATCGCGGATCTTCTCCTCACTCTATAACAAGTATTCATAAAGCGCCCAGCAGCGAAGTTTAGACAACATAGCATGGAACTTTGTCTCACAAATATAACCAAGGCTGACCAGGCCTATTGTGATACTGCCATCCTCGGTGCGGTTGAAGGACAGAAGTCTCGGAGAACCGGGCTGAAAATACTGTTGGAGTGTCCCGACCCAGGGGTGTCAAAATCACGGGACGAAACGACGGGTATCGGGTCTGAGGCCACCCGACTGGACTGTCGTCTCTCGCCGAAGAGAACGCAATCACAGCTGACGATACACATAGCTGAATGTCGTGATATCTCGAACGCTCATCCGTAGCTCTCTCGGCAACGTCCTATCTGGACTAGACATAGAACCTTTTCTCAAAGCTGCCCAGGACGCCAGATACCGACTGGCGGTAATGACTCCACAGAAGGCCAGTATGGCGTCACGTCGAACGGCCCCGCTCCGCTGTCGCCGTGGGCCAACCACCATCCTCCTGGATCTCCTTCATTGAACCATAGACACTCACCATATATCGCGTATATCTTTCGCCTGCCACCCCCGTAAGCCTCAGGAGCAAGACAATCAGCAGTCTCTTAGCAAACACAGCGTCTCGGGAACAATGGTCGCCAACGCAGTCAGCGCCGAACACGGCACAGTCCACGACGCCGCCGCGAAACCCCCCAACAAGTCTCTCGAAGGCCACAAACTCCTCCTCTTGACAAGCACCCCTCCGCCAGAAGGCTACTTCGAGAAGCTCCGGGCCGAGTTTCCCGGCCTCAAGACGGAGTACAGGCCGACAGACTGGCCCGCCAAGGTTCCCGGTGGTGAAAGCTTCACCGACGACCAGTGGAAGGACGTCACCGTCCTCCTGACCGGCAACGCGTTTCCCGCGTCGAAAGAGGTCGCGCCCAAGCTGCAATACGTCCAGCTCCAGAGCGCGGGTGCCAACATGATCCTCAAACATCCGCTGTTTACCGATAGTGATGTGGCTTTTTGTACCGCCAATGGTGTCCATGGGTGAGTTCGATTGCTCTGAGCAAGGTACACGTGGTGGGCGTGCTGACGACGATATTTGTTGCAGGCCTCAGATATCGGAGTGGGTGATTGCCACGTTTCTGGCTCACCAGCATTCGAGTAAGGTCCCCGAAGCCAAATTCCTTGGACATCGTCAAAGTTCTGTTCCTAACTCATCAATCAGTCCCCGCCTACCTGGACATCCAGCGCCAAGGCACATGGAAGCGCCTCGGCAACCAAGTCGAAGACCGCGTCGGCAGAAGAGTGTAAGTCTCTCCCCATCTCCTCCCCCCTTGCATCGCCATTGCCATTTCCATTGCTGAAACCCCACACGCAGCGGAATCCTAGGCTACGGCAGCATAGGCCGACAGGTAGCCCGCGTCGCCGTAGCGATGGGATCGGACGTGCACGCCTACACCCTGCACCCAAAACCCACCCCGGAGTCGAGGCGCGACGACGCCTACTCCCCGCCCGGCCTGGGCGATCCGGAGGGTGTCCTCCCCGCGAAATGGTTCTCGGGCGAGTCCAAGGAGGAGCTGCACGCCTTCCTCGCCTCGGGGCTCGACCTCCTCGTCGTCTCCGTGCCGCTGACGGAGAAGACGCGCCACCTCTTGTCGGGGCCGGAGTTCGAGGTCTTGAAGGAGAAGAGGACGTATATATCCAACATTGCGCGGGGCGGGATTATTAAAACTGATGATTTGATCGAGGCGCTGGACAAGGGTTTGGTAAGGGGTGCCGCGCTGGACGTGACGGACCCCGAGCCGCTGCCTGACGGCCATCCGCTGTGGAAGGCGAAGAATGTGATTATCACGCCGCATATTAGCGGGAATTCGACGGCGTATGCGGAGAGGGTGCTGGCTATTCTGGAGCAGAACTTGGCGCGGATCAGTGAGGGCGGGGAGTTGATTAACAGGGTTAGTAGGAGGGATGGGTACTAGTGTTAGACGGGGGGATGTGTGGGCGATGTGCTGGATTTGACGACGTGATATTTGTGCAAGGGAGTGATAGATATTCTTCATATACGGGGGCTTTTCAGCAGTTACATGTGATTACAGAACATATTGTTTCCACCGAGGGCTCGTATACGGGGATCAAGGAACCTCAGTAATCATCTGTCCCAACATTATTCCGCATTAGACCTGCTTGACTCGCGACCCGTTTACCGACGTTTACAATGCCAAATAGCGGAACCAACTCACATCAATCAACGGGACAGATGGCCGAGCGGTCTAAGGCGCTACGTTCAGGTGTAACCCCCCAGTTCCTTCCGAATTCGTAGTCTCGCAAGAGGCGTGGGTTCGAATCCCACTCTGTTCAGTTTTTATTGGTTTGGCCAATCAGACCTCCTTTTTTGGTATTGCGCGATCACCATTTGCGACATTTTTGTCAACCTCGAGATCAACACGTGCATTTGGCGCTTTAATTCCCCTCAATGGCGTCATCGGTCTGCGATAAGCTTCGTATACTTGTCTGTTGTCACTGAGACGTGGCAATGAACGTGTGAACAGTTGTGGCATGAATGGGGTCGGTGCATTGCGAGTTTTTCGCACGATAAACGACGGTCTTGTACCTTCCCATCCCAACGCCGCCCTCCCACAGCGAGGATGTTGCTCGCGCCTCTTCTGACTCCTCGGCCTACCAAACAAATACTCGATGATTTTGGTCCCTTCCCCTCGAAAGGCCATTGTCCTACCATTTACCCCAACACCTCCCTCCTCAATAAGCCACTCACGCTTCTCAACAACCACGCACTTCTTCATCACCCAGGGCTTCCCGCCCCTCCATAGTCAATCGCCGCCGTTGACAAGCCGACCACTGCTACCAGTCTCGCTGCTGCTACCCAGATAATCCCCAAACACCCTCTGCTCGACATCCAGGTCCTTCCAGGCCGCGCCGACCCTCTTATTGGCCGCGCGGCGGAAGTACACCCGCTTCCCCCACTTCCACGCCTCGATGCCCAAGAAGAACAGGAAGGCGGCCACAAACACGATGCCCCACTCCCAGCTGATGCCCGTGTGCTTGAAGACGACGTGGTTGATGACGGGGATGTACAGCGTCGGGAACAGCGTCACGAAGCCCAGGAGGATGGCCCAGAAGAGGAACTTGTTCCGCCACACGTCGTGCATCCACTGCGTAAAGTACTTTTTGCTGCCCGGCTGCATGCGGAAGAAGGACCGGCGCATGTCGACGAGCTCCCAGGCCAGGAAAAGCGCGAACCAGGTGAGGCAGGCGAAGGTCGTCGCGCGGGCGCGGAAGACGGTGTCGCACTCGGGCGAGTACTTGTCGTTGCAGTTGACCCCGAGGTTGCCGCCACCCCAGGCGTAGACGCGCAGGACGAAAGACGCCAGGCACAAGGCGGCGATCCAGGTGCCGTAGACGACCATGTCGACGCAGAACTCCTTGGTGAAGATGCCCGTCTTGAGGTTCTGCGGCGGGCGGCGCATGATGTCCGGGACGGCGCGCTCGAAGCCGAGACCCATGTCGGGCAGGCCGGAGGTGATCATGATGATCCAGACGATCTCGACGGGGGCGAGGGGGAAGACGGAGAGGGAGGTTGCGTCCTTGAAGGCTAGGCCGATGAGGAGGGTGCCGGCCTGGGCGATGTTCTCGGCTAGCACGTGGAGGACGAATTTCTGGATGTTGTCGAAGATGCGCCGGCCTTCTTCGATGGCTGCCACGATGGAGGCGAAGTTGTCGTCTGTCAGGACGATGTCCGAGGCGTCCTTTGCTACGTCCGAGCCGGATTGGCCCATGGCTATGCCGACGTCGGCGCGGCGGAGGGAGGGGGAGTCGTTTACGCCGTCGCCGGTCTGAGGCGGCTGTTAGTATTTGGGTGAAGAGGATGGGGATGGGGAATGCTTACCATGGCGACGAACTTGCCGCGTCTGTGAAGGGCTTCAATCATCCTGACCTTGGTGCTGGGCGCACAACGAGCGATGACAAGAGGCAAAACGGGGAGCTCGTCGACCTGGTCGTCGCTCAGAGCGTCGAATTCGCTGGCCGTCATGACCATGGCCGCGGCGATCTCGCGGCTAACCCTCTCCATGCGCTTGGGCAGGATGCCGACTTCGACGGCGATAGCCTTGGCCGTCTCGGGATGGTCCCCAGTGAGCATGTGTACCGAGATGCCGGCCTCGTGGCACTCGCGGACAGCAGGAGCGGACTCGGGACGAGGGGGGTCGTACAGGCCGATGAGACCGCGGAAAGTGAGATCCTGCTCGACCTCGGCACGCTTCTCGTCGCTGGGGTCGTCGGCGATCTCCATGTCGACCTTGCGGCTGGCAAGCGCGAGAACGCGCAGACCGAGACCGGCAAAGACCTCCATGTTGCGCAGGATCTGCTCGCGGAACTCGTCCGTGACTGGCACGGCCTCTTCCGAGCCGTCGCCGCTGTGGTACCGCGTGCACACCTTGATGACCCTCTCGACGGCGCCCTTGGTGAAGGCAAACTGCTCGCCGGTGGCGTTCTTCTTCATGACCGTCGTCATCCGCTTGACGTCGCTGTCGAAGGGGAACTCGGCGATCTCGGTCCACTCGGGCTTGTCGCCCTGCGTGAGGGCGAGCCTGTTCCACTCGAAGCGGCTGGAGAAGACCTGGATGGCGATCTCGGTCGGGTCGCCGCGGGCGTGCCACTTGCCTTCCTTCTCGAACACGGTGGCCAGGTTGGCCAGGGATGCGACGGACAGGAAGTCCTGCAGACCGGCCTTGCTGTCCTCCAACAGCTGGGTTGGCGTGACGATGTCTCCCGCATCACTGGACTCCTCCTTCGAAGTCTTGAAGTTGATGTCCGTCGGCTCGCGGGAGGCAAAGCGGATATCGCCAGCCCTGGGGCTGAACGCCTCGTTGGAGTTCTCGACCGTGTACGTTCCCAGGGAAGGAATCCAGACGCCGCGCGCAACCATCTTGCCCTGGGTCAGGGTACCAGTCTTGTCGCTGCAGATATCGGTGACGGCGCCCAGAGCCTCGAGAGACTTCAGGTTGCGCACAATGACGTTCCTCTGCACCATCCTCTTCGTACCAGCAGCCATGGTAATGGTCAGCACCACAACCAGACTGGCCGGAATCATCGACAATCCAGTAGCGACGGCGTAGATAATGACTTCCTGATTGGAATTGAACTTGTTCGCTCCCAGGACGACGATGGCGAATACAACAGCGATGCAAAACAGCAGAATTGCAAGCTTGCTCAACTTCTGCTGCAGCGGCGTGCCGACGTTGACGCCCAGGAAGCGGCCGACAAAGTCGCCCAGCGTGAGGGTGTAGGCCTCGACGTACCGCGCCGGGTGCGCCTTTCCGTTGTCCTTGCGCTTGACGGGGCGGACGCGGGAGTCCTTCTTCCTCAGCGCCGTGGCGATGGCGCCGATCTCGGTGAACGTGCCGGTGGCGAAGACGATGCCCTTCGCGCGGCCCTTGGTGACCGTCGAGCTGCTGTAGGCGACGTTCAGGCGGTCTCCGGGGCCCGTCTTCTCGTCAAAGGTGGTGTTCTCGGCCTTGCGGACGGGCAGAGACTCGCCGGTGAGCAGGGCCTCGTCGGTCTCAAAGTTCTTGGCCTCGATAAGTCGGATGTCGGCGGGGATTGTGTCGCCCGTCTTGACCTCGATCAGATCGCCGGGTACGATTTCTCCGGAGGGGACGACCATTGCCTCCCCGCCACGAACGACAGTAGCGGTGGGCGAGCTGAGCGAGCGCAGGGAATCCATCGTCTTCTCTGCTGAATACTCTTGGAAGAAGCCGACTACCACGTTCAATATGATAACGGCAGCCACGACACCGCCTTCGATATACGATCCGATGCCGAAACTAACCGCCATGGCCATGATGAGCACCTTCAGGGGACTAAATCAGCTCGGTCTTTTTGCTCGGGACGGGGTATGGGTGGTCAGTTTTACTAGAGTCATGGCATTTGCTACCTGGGCTGCGATGATCTTGAGGGGTTGCGGCCCTTCGGCCTCGCCCAGTTCGTTGCGGCCATAGGATTCCAAACGGGAGGCCGCTTCGGACGGGGACAGACCGGATAAGGGCTCGACCTCCAGCTCCCTCGCGAGAGCGTCGTAGGTCAGGGCGTGGGCGGGCGCCGAGAGGGGTTTGTTGGACTGGCCCGAGACGTGGACCGCCTCCTCCTCCGGCTTTTCGTGTTGACCCATGACGTTGATGGGTGATGGGGTTTGAATATCTGATGATATCGGGATTCGGGATGGGGTCTACAACAATGGCTATAAAGGTGTACCGATGTCCTTCTCACACTTTGTCGAGTCTGTTGAGTAAGAGGGTTGGAATATGAATCAGGTCCGTACTTCAGTTGGAACGGGAGACAGGCACCTTCTTAAGGGTCAAGGCAAGGCGATAAGCGGGCAAAGGACTCTCACATCTTCTTAACGAAGGTTGTGGAACGGGACGACCGTACAGAATGTCTTGTCACCCTTGGCGTGCTGGGCGTACACGCACTGTGGATGTCTCGATGCTCGGCGCAGTCTTGGCACATCGATAACGACTTTCTTGTGGGTGAGGGTGGTGATCTCATCAGGTGAGTTCGCAGTTCCTGCAGCACGGCAAAGTGCCTATCTCATGCCCAATTTCTCGGGTAAGAATGGTGTCACTTTCCTTCATCCCTCGTCATGAGCAGTGTTCAAGCGTATGTGAAAGTCAGACTCAGCGAGGTAGGCTTGAGTAGGACCGCCCGGTCCAGGTACAGATACCGGGGTGTGGATCCGGCTACACGGAAAGGCGTTCTCGACGCCAAGCGCCGCCGTTCTCGGGAGTGGGGACGCCCAGACTGCATCGCCATGACGGCATCCCGGGTTTCCCACCCCACGTGCGTACAGGACGGCGCTCTTTGGTCCGTTATGGGAGGGTTGAGCCGTCACTTTCCGCCTCATTGCGTGACTCTGTTCGTCACTGGAAGCTCCCTCCATGTGTTTCGATCCAAGAGATTCAGTGGTTGACGGAGCAGATTAGGGGTAAGCAAGAACCGAACTCTGATTGTTGACAGAAACTGATTCATTCCGTACCATAATCTGAGAGTGCCTTGAGCCTAGCAAGTTCTTAGTCCAGCGGGCTTTAAGCTTTTCAACAAGCACTTTTTGACTTTATAGATGCGTATTCACACCTCGGTCTCCAACCATATTTCCCTCCTGTTCAAAGAGTCACTTGCCTCATCAAGCCAATTGAAGGCCTTGACCTCAACACTGATCATCCACGACCAACTCTTGGCACGACTATCACAGCTTGTACGCCCAGCGTTGTCTACTGCCAGCCCAGAAGAGTTTTGGTCCATAAATCCGTCAGAACTCCTCATGCAGCATTGCTGTACTCAGAAGC